GCCGACCGCTCCTCCCGAGGCGGAGCGCACTCCCACCACCCCGGTGGCGCCCACCGCCCTCTCCACGGCCACTGACAGGGCGCCGACCACCCCGGTAGCGACCACCGTTTTGGCGCCGACCACTCCCCGGACCCCGATCGCCGTCCTCCCCAGCAGCAGCAGCAGCAGCAGCAGCAGCAACAGCAGCAGCAGCCGCCGCGTCCCGCCCACCCCACCTGCCACCGAGCCCCCCTCCTCTCCTCCCCCAGGTGAGTCCCCGCGCTGGCTGTCGGGCGGCGGCACCCTCCCCACCCGGACCCCAGCCTCGGGCATCTAGGGTTGGGCGCTTGGCTGGAATGGTTCGTTTCGCTCCTCTGGTCTCCACTCCCCAAGGGGAGATCCAAGCTCCAGCCTCCTAGGTTGACCCTCTGCACTACCCACCTCGCCCCAGGTCTGGGAAGTCTTTTTGTCCAGCCTCTCCCCCTCCCTCTTCCTCCCCTACTCCCCCCCACCCCCGGGGCCGTGCTCTTTCGGGTCGGGGTAGCTGCTCTCGGCCAGGCATCGCATCTCTTTCCAAACCAGGTTTTTCTGGCCTTTGTCAGAAGCGATCCAGCAGGGACGCAAACTTTTGGGTTCGGCTCCACCTCGCCTGGTTTATCTAGGGGAAGTTTGAAAACCAGCAAACATCCCTGCTTCCATTCACCCCACAGGTCAAAGGCTGAGCGAAAGGGATCCCGGTTTCCTTGTTCATTTTTCTTCTTGTTGTTGTTAATATCAGATGTGCCTGTGGCAGGTGGAAGAGGTAGGGAGAGGATTTTGTTTAGAAACAGCAGTACACTACCTGAGGTCACAAAATAAAACAGGTATTATCATCCATGTTTTCTCTGCAAGTAAGTAGATTCAGTAGGTCATTTGGGGCACGTGTGTTATCTAGGTTGAGCACGTTTATAAATTAGGTTAAAACCCTTCCTTGCACTATGTATTGTCTCAATTTCAAGGTCAGGTGTTTGGTTAAAGACAATTTAAGCAGGGATGCCCATTTTTGTCCCCTTAAAAACTAGGCTGATTTTGCTGATGCTGACAGGCCAATTTCATTTGGAGTTCATACAGAGAATAAAGCTCTTCTTTCTGGTTAAAGTCTCAAGCAACGTTAGATCTCACTCCTTTCTTTCTCCTTTTATATCTAAAGTTGCCCTTAGTCAAGAAAATCTAACTTGTCAAGACTTTAGACAAGAGTTTCTGAGTTCTTTTGCTTAGAGTTGGGGTGGAGGTATGTCCAAAGCCCTTGTCTGGCTGGATCAGCTGACCTAATTCTTAGGCTCAGTGGTTTACTGTGAGTCTGGTTATGGACTTTGGACTATAATTGTGTCTGCAGAGAAATTTCCCACATGGTTATATGCTTTGATACAGTGTTGGTTTGGAGTTTGATTATTCATTCTGAAAAAAAAAAGCCAAATTTGGATTGATTCCAGCTTCAAGGGTATATTAACTAGGCCCCCCCTTTTTTTTTAACCTGTGATGATTTGGGCCTCTAGAAGAGACACTGACATATGATTAAAACACAGGAATTATAGTGGTTGAACGTATGGACTGTGTTGTCCATTCCTAGGTTAGAATTCCAGTGGGCTGTCCCTATGAAAGCTTGAGCGAGTTACTTAACCTTTCTGGCCTCCCTTTCTTCAACTGTGAAATGAAGATAATTATAGTACTTGTAAGATTGCTGTGAGAATTAAACATCTTGAGCTGAATCTGGTGGTGCATGCCTGTAATCCCAGCATTCAGGAGGCTGAGACCGAGGATCATAAGTTTGAGCTGAGCTACATACAGAGATCCTCTCTCAAAACTGTCTTTAGTGCTTAGTACAATTCTTGGTATAAGCACCATGTGTATGTTAAATATGCGTTTGACCAAGCATTTTTTTAAATAGAGAAAAGCATTTGAGAAACCAAGTAGGGACTTGCGGTGATTAAATTTTTTTTCCATTTAGCAAAATATAATGAAAAAAAAAGAATTAGATTTTTTTTTTAAAATTTCAAGCACACAGTAGCATAAGGTTGCAATTTCTTACTATGGTTAGTATCGGATAAATAACTCAGGATAATTGGTTTTCCTTGTTTTAAAAAGACACTAAGATAACCCTTTCTGACAAAAACAAAGCAAAACAAAAAACCAAAAGTCTACCAAGTGAAAAGTGAAAGTTACTGTTTTCTGGTTTCAGTAAACCTCTAGATGTTAGTAGTGTTTGCAGCTGGTTGGTTTTTTTTTCCTTCAAACTTTTTTTCTGGGCATGTATGATCATTACACAGAATATTTTAAAATAGTTTTTAGGTGGGCAGGTTTTGGTCTAGAGTGTGCAATCCCTGTACTGCAAAGAAAATTTAATTGAATAAAATAGTTTTTTAAAAATGGAATGATTCTATAATACTGTTTTACAACTTGCTGTATTAACTGTGTATCATTGATTGTATATATACATATATATTTATGTGAGTACCTTGGATCTAATTATTTTTAATAGTTGTACTTCCTATTGTCAGAATGTGTCATAATTTATTCACCCAATCTCTATACACACTTAGATTGCTTTAAAGAGTGGAGAAGACTGTTCTTAAGTTCATTCCATTTTTATTATATTTGTCTAATACTTTGATTTGAATCAATGCTCAGAATTCAAATAAATTTCAAGTGCAGTAACATTGGGCTAATTAGTATTTGCCATTTGAATTGTTCAAAGTTATTAGTATTTTCCATGGACTAACCTAAGTTTAGTTTTAGCATGTCCAACTCTGGTCACTTCCCTTTGTTTTAAATAATCTGGAGTTTTTACTACTCTGTGAAGTCACTCTGGGTTGCCAGTATCTAGTTCTCAGGAGCTTCATTAGCTTTGTGACCTGATAGACAATTTTAGGATTTTTTTTTGCCGGTCCTGGTACTTGAACTCTGGGCCTGGCCACTGTCCCTGAGCTTCTTTTGCTTAAGGTTAGCACTCTCCCACTTGAGCCACAGTGCCACTTCTGGCTTTTTTTGAGTAGTTTACTGGAGATAAGAGTCTCACAGATATTCCTGCTCCAGCTGGCTTTGAACTGTGATCCTCAGATCTTGGCCTTCTGAGTAGCTAGGATTACAATTGTGAGCCACTGGTGCCTGGCTTAATTTTAGCTTTTATGATAGCAAGTATAGACTATTTAACCAGAGCCAAGGGTTTAAATAGTAAACAGAGCTCTTTGACAGAAGAAAACTATTTGAATTTGAAAGAGCTGATTTGGCTTGTAAAGCTGGATTCCCTGGCATTAGGAAGAGAGGTTCTTCCTCATTTCAATATTCCTATAAGAACTAAGTATAATATTTGATTTGATACATCTTACAGATGCTTTCTGAATTAAGAATTTCTCTCTTGGAGACTTAGCTGAGTGTTTTTGCCTACCCCTAAGTTAGGGCCTCTCCAATGTTTATACTCAAACACTTTCTGCAAACTGAAAGTAATTGCCCAGCAAGCAGGCACTTTCCTCCCACAAACCTGGCAGAGTACTCAACTGATCGGACAGGACATTTGGGGAAGGGTAAAGAGGGATGCTGGGTCACTAGCAAATCGTAGTAAAACTCTGAAGTAATGACAAATGTTGGAGTTTTGGAATTATTGACTTCTAGGGTACAATAGGCTTTTCTATTCTGACATGGCTCTACATTTTAAGAATGTATAGGGGTAGCTGATAGGCATCGCTGTAGTTAATGATGATGGTCTTGCTGGGCCCACTGGAGGCCATGTAGAACAAGTCTGATTATCTGAGCCCTGGCAATTCTGAAGGGTTTTAGAGACAGTGATTATGCTCCTTTGGAATCTGAGCTAAATGACTTCAACTCATTTAACTGGTCTTTATGTGATATGTTTTCATATTTCTTTACTAGAGTCTCCTCTTTACTATACTTTTTCAGTCTTTCTGTGACACTCTCAGGATGTGGAAAAAACCTGGACATAATATATTAGCTGTGCTCAATTAGCTCTAGAAGAGAGGACAGTTACCTTGTTCTTTCTAGTTGTGACCTTGAAGATGATGTAGTTAAGCCTTGCTCACAATCTCTTTTATGGACATATTGGCTCCATTAAGATACCAGAATTTTAGCCAGGTATCAGTGACCCCTTTAAGCCTAGCTATTCAGGAGGCTGACATCTGAGGATCTTGGTTCAAAGCCAGCAAGGGCAGGATAGTCTGAGAGACTTATCACCAATTAAACAGCAAAAAGCTAGAAATGGAGGTGTGAATTAAGTGGTAGAGTGCTAGCCTTGAGGAAAGAGCAGCTCAGGGATAGCCCCCTGGCTCTAAGGGCAAGCCCAGGACCCATACAGAAGAAGAAAGAAGAAGGAGAAAGAAGACAAGGGAGGTAGAGGAAGAGGAGACAGAGAAGGAGGAGGAAGAAGAAGGGGAAGGAGAAGGAAAAGGAGAAGAAGAAGGAGAAAAAAGATACTAGAATCTTTTACTTAAAAACATAAGAACCTGATGGGTCTTTTTTCTCTATGGGCTTGGAAATTCTGTCCTTTTCTAAAATAACAAATGGAGACATTTACCATACATAGAGGATTGATTTGATTGTTAAATTCAAGTCATCCGTTTAGATCCCTAGTTTGTTTGTGTACTCCACCCAGTTCATTCACATTACCTACAGGGTGTTCTTATAGACAGTCAAAGGGCAAGTCAAGGCGGGCTGGTTATTCTTCCTCACAGGGTAAGAGTAAATTTATGGATGATAAAACATTTTTACAGGGTAGGGATAACAGCTTAGGTGAGTTCTCAAGGGTCTGTTTGACCAGTAATATAAAAAGGAGCCTTATTTATTTGAGATCCAGGTAATGAGAGCAAAGCCCTAGTTTGTAAATTCTACACAACATGTAAATAAAACATTTGCAATAGATTCTATTTGCTTTGTTTTCCTTTTCTTATTGTTAGTTTGGAGACAGGATCTTGCTCTGTAAACCAGGTTGGTGTGGAACACACTCTATAGCCTAGGCTTTTTTCCTTATTCTCCCTCCCAGTGCTAAGATTACAGGTGTGGACCACCATATCCAACTGTGTAGATTCTACATGAAATAATAGCATCCAGAGCCCTCCTACTCAGACTGGAAAATTCCTTTTTTTTTTTTTTAAAGCTAGTACTGGGGCTTGAACTCAAGGCTTTGAGCTCCCCTTCACCTTTTTTGCTCAGTGCTGTTGCTATGTCACTTGAACCATGCCTCTAGTTCCATGGGGAAGATGCTTTCTTCATCTTAAAATTT